GGGCGAACACTGACCTCCAGAGGTCCCGGCGCGGAAATTCAGGGATGCCAACCCCTCTGGCCCCCGGGACGCGGCGCGGGAGGTGCCGCCGGAGGCGAGGGACGCTCGGCAGGTGCGAGCGGCGGCCGTGGCTGATACAGCGATTTCACAGTGCGCTTCCCCTCGAAGAGTTCGCTGGATGAGAAGACAGACCTGAGTTTCAGGAGAGATGCGGTTGTTTTGTGAGCCTGAATGAACAAAGTCAAAACGTACAAACTCACACCTTCTCCAGCTGAGACGAGCAGCTGGAGCGAGGAGTGAGCTTTCACCCACCGATCACACTGAGCACCTTGTCCCTGCGCTGATGTTGGGTCCAGCCAGAGGCAGGGTGGGAGGGAACGTGGTCCAGCAATGGGCAAATCTCACCACGGGGGTGGTTGGCCCTGGAGAACTCAAGTAGCAAAACGCTCCCGAGGTCAAACTCTTGAAAGGGAAAGCGCAGGAAAAGTGGAGCGTTTTGGCCGCTCTCTTGATCGGCACCTTGGTGCCACACAAAGTGGAGCCTTCCCAGCATCCTGGTGTTAACAAAGGCTGCTGCCCTCGGCTTTGGAGGAAGCTTTCAGGCTACGTTTCTGGCACCTTCCTGGTACATTGATTCACGCTAAACCCTGGATAGAGGCAGCAGTTTTCAGCTCAGGCCAGCTGGACGGTCAGGGCACCTCCCCGACTCACAACAGCTCTGACTCCACATTTCAGTTTCCCGTGGTGAGCGGTGGAAACATCTCCTGCTCTGGAGAAGGGGACACTGCAGCTTCAGATGTTCACTGGTGACTGCTGCTCCCTGCGGTAAGGAGGGAGCATCTGGGCCAGGATGTCTTTGGAAAGCTCTTGCATTACTGATCTCGTTTAATGGCCCATTCTCATTGAATTCAATGAAAAACTAATGTTGGCTTCCGTGGGAAGGGCCATACTCTGAATTAAAAAGAAAATGAACTCTCTTTTTCCCCAGGGAGAGCAGCTACTGCTTTAGAAGAATAATTATCACAGTGGAGATGAGCAAGAAAAAGCCTGTAGTGCTTACTTGTTTCAGGCAGTTTTGAGCATATGATTAAGTGGTGGTACAAATTATTTGTCAATTTTTGCTCTGCAATTCTTTTTAATTCCACTTCTTTCCAAGTGCCAGTATTTAAAATGTCAACCTTTACTTTGAATATTGTTGCTCTTTTCACCACCGCCTCGATGCAGCTTGCAATAACCAAACGCAGATTTTCGATTTTCTTTTCTTTTTTTTTTTTTTTTATGTTGCCACATAATGAGGAGAGAGGCTTAAGCTTTCAGACAGATTTTTTTTTTACTCCTTAAAGGCAGAATGCTGTGAGTCACAAAACTGTGGCAGGCACTACACAAACATTATGTGCATGTTTGTAGTTATTCCTTTAAAAACTTTTACAGAAGAGAAAGATCAAATGCTGCATCACTTCACAGTGACTTTTTTGGCTGACACATACAAAAATTATGAGCCAAAAAAGAAGAGAAAAATAAGTTTATATGGGGAGTCACCAATACTATTGATTTTTACATGAAAGGAATGCCCTCTTTTCCCCTTCACACGCTTTGGTAGCAGCTTGTAGCATAAAGCCATAAGATACACGTGCTCTCCTTGCACACTCATACATATACATGCATTTAAGAGCTTTTTACATCATGGCATGAAGGCTTTTAGATGATTTTCTCCCAGCACACACATTCACTAAGCAAGCACAGCTCTAACCCAAGGAATATGACAAGGATTCAAACCAGTAGACAGGTGGTTATTGTAAAATCTAATTTCAAATCTGCATATGGCTGATGCTCTGATTAAGCTCTGCTTCTCCAGCACTCAGAATAAACAGATCCATTTGACATGATGACAACATAACCTTTGGGTGTCCTTTGCTGTGCACGCTCTGTGTCTGATAAGACACATTCCATGCTTCCCACATGTAATGGCTGTGATGCAGATGGCGAGGCTTGCAAACGCAGGATTTTGAGGCAGAAAACTAGGAAATGAATACTGCTTTTGCAGAACATGATTTTATGGCAGATTTCTATTCTTACTAATACACACTGGGAATAGCATCAGCTACATCCAAAGCATGCACTCGAATCATTACAACCAGCCCAGCAAGTAGCAAAATCTACCTCCAGCACAGCAAATCAGTTCAGCAGCTTCTCAGACAAACCAAACCAGGGATGTTGGTATTAAAAATGCCATGCCATGTCCAAACCTACCCAATGACTTTCAGCTTCTTTGTGCCTTAAAGTTAAGAGAAAAGAGCATCACTCTTTACACTTAAAAAGTAAAGAAAGCAAAGGAAGGCAATCTGATGGCTATTTCAGTGCATTTTCACTTGAATCCTGCTAAAGCAGTTGACAGTGCTTTCTGCTGCAAGGGGGAAGCAAGAAGAACAGAGGCTATGCAAGGTAAGATGAGGTGTCTTCCTCTGCTGTTCTTTTGCCAAATCCCTATTATCACCACTTGAGCCTGCTGGAAGAGCCAGCTACCACGCTGCCTAAAAATAAGGTTCTCATCTCCAGATGTTTTTATAAATGGCAAGCCACTGTAGCTGGTGTTTCCCCACTGCTGTTGGCAGCTGATAAAGGTCCAGCTCCTCTTGTCGTACAGAATTGACTTCATTTCCTCTCAGCAGCATCCCTCCAATAAAGGTACCTGCAATTAACTCTTCAGAACCATCTCTAGCAACGTTTGTCTCTTTACAGGCTTCATGGAAATGCAATTTCTTTCCCTGTGTGATTTTCACGCTTTTTTCTGCCTTGGGTTTGTCCCCTGAAGAGGCAAGTCCAGGAAGTTTTATTCAAGAAGTTCTGGACAACCAGGAGCAGGACTGTTTCCTACAACCTGTACCCAGGAAAGCCCCCCACTCCCAGTTTTTCAGCAGTGTCAGGGAATGCCTGAAGTGGGCTGAGTTGAGCTCTGTGCCTCCTGCTGATGGCAAAGCTGCAAGCTCAACCAGCTGCCAGCTGCCTCCCAGGCTCACGTGCTATTCCCTTCAATCCTTTCTCCCAAATTCCCATTGGGCATCATGCCCAGACAGCTCAGTTTGCAGTAGTGAAAGGTCAGCCCCTTCTCTTACATCACTCCCGGTGTACTTCAGGGATCAGTGAGAAGCCTGGGCTCCAGTCCCTTGAGGCATGAGAGAGTCACAGGAACTGATCTTGTGCCAGTGATGATGCAGTTTCCAGCAGGAACGGGGCTGACATCAGTGTGACAGACACAGATTACAGCTAGTGACAAAAGGGGAAGGTGCTACAACCCATTTCCATGACTCACCCAGCCTTTGGTCTCAGCTGTCTCTAAATCATCATCAGCACCACAGACATCTGCATGATGTGGAGTCAAGACACCATTCCCAGGCTTCTGCACTGCCAGTGGCCAACTGCTCCTCTGATTTCATTGCATTCCCCTCCTTCTTCTCTGCAATTTTCCCAAGCTCTTACCCCTGTATGGACTAGCCTTTACCTACCCCAGGCTCCCCCTCTTGTCACATCTCCCGGACCCAAGTCACGCCCATAGCCAGAAGGAATGGGCTGGTGCTGAGCCCTGCAAAACTCTCCTGTGCTTCCCTTCACAAACAGCCTCTGCTGATGCTGCATCTTGCAGCACATCTGGGTTATTAACTGGCCACCTGGCAGCTCCCTAATTGGCAATATCGGTAAAAGCACATTTTTCTCTTTTCTTAGGTCTCCAGATAAAGCAGTTAAATTTGATCTAAGATCCTCACATCCTCATTGCCTCATATAATTTGTAATGACCTTGCCTATGCTTCAAAAAAATTACAGCTACTATTTTTGCACTCACACACTTTCTAGTTTCTCTTTAACATACACTCTGGCTGGGAACTGAATGACACAGCATAATCTGCTAAAGCTTTTTCTATAGTAAACAGAGATAAAAACCACAGCCAAAGGGCATGCAGGCTCCGAGGAAGCAAGCACCATATGTGATTGTACCAAACGCTCCAAACCGAGTTCCTGCTCAGAGGAAAGCTGTCCCTGGAGGGAGCTGTCCCTGCCCAGTGAGGCCATGCTCTGTTCCAGCACACTGACCATTGCAGAGCCCAGCACAGCCCTCGGTGGCTCCACACAGAGTCACTTGTGCGAGCGAGTGTCACAGCAGGAAGTGTTGAAGGGGCACGGTGACTGCCAGGTCAGGTGTATAAATACGAATATGAGGTCGTGCTCTTTCAACAGCCTCATTTTGCCATGGAGAGGGACCTCTGTGAGCTGTGACTCCCTGGCTGCCTGACTCAGCACTGCCCCAGCAGTAGGAGAGCCTGGAGGAGGCACAGCCACTGAGACTCTTCTGCTTTGGAACTCATTCCCCACATTGAGGCCAAAAAAGCTTGGATACAGCAGGCTTTGGGTCAGGCTAAAAAGCCTAGAGTATTTTCAGACTTCTGAGGAGAGAACATTGTATTTATAGGGAAGTTTAGTTCTTCAGTTGCTTTTGTAATTCATTTTGTTTATGACTGGTTTACTCAAGCTGTAGGGCTGAGGAGTTAGCTGCTAGATTTCTTTTCTAGGCTCACATTTCTAACTGTTTGCAGACACAGGACAGAGCTATTTTTGTAATATAAATCATTACAAAGAGAATATCTCACAGTCCCCACTGAAGCAAATTCCTAAGGAAGAGAGTTCCAGTTTAGAAGTAAATTTGTACTTCATATTTTTTTCAGCTTAATGACTGAGAAACAAGGAACATCAGTCTGAAGCCAAGTAGTGTCCCCATTTCTCAGGAAGACAAACTCAGTGGAACAAGAGTCACTTCTACCAAGAGGAACTGGGTGGGAGCTGCAGATGTGGCTTCCCAAGCCCCAGGGGATTGAGTGTGATCCTGGGGAAGGGGTTGAGCAAATGGGGACAGAACCTAGGCTTCAAGGTGACACAACTTTAGAGATAAAGGTACTCAAGATACTTTCAGTGCCCACCTTAAAAAGTAAGATAATATCTTCTAAAAAGGCCAGAGTGTGGGATTTTTTAGAAAAAGGCAAATATCATCTGAGACTCAGGGACAGAGTTTTAAAAAAATTGCTGAGAGCTTTGGTTGTGTTACAGACTCGTGGATGACTTATTTTAGAAGAACAGTCTCATCCCCTGGAAGATGTTTAAATATCTGTGCTATGACTCTTCCCATTTAATTGACACTAATTTGGCAAGTCACAATTCATATTCATAGGAGCATCAAAAA